TAATTTCAAAAAGGATTACTTTAAGAGATAGTTGTAAAATAAATTGTTGTTGCCAAGTGCCATTTTCAAGGAGCAGCTGGTGAGCTTGAACCACCAACCTTACAATTCAAACAGCTTTGTAGTCTGGTACATTAACCCACATCACCACACCAGGATTCCATAAATAACGCTTGTTGTTGTTGTTGTTATGTGCCGTGGAATCGGTTCCAACTCATAGTGACCCTGTACAGGGTTTCCGGGGCTGTAAATCTTTACAGGAGCAGAAAACCTCATCTTTTTTCTCCCATGGAACAGCTGGTAGTTTTGAACTGCTGACCCTGCGGTTCACAGCCCGATTCATAACCACTATGCTACCAGAGCTCCTTAAATAACTAACGCTTCTTGTTGTTGTTGTTGTTATGTGCCGTAGAGTCGGTTTTGACTCATAGTGACCCTGACAGGGTTTCCAAGGCTGTAAATCTTTACGAGAATAGAAAGCCTCATCTTTCTCCCATGGAACAGCTGATAGTTTCGAACTACTGACCTTGCGGTTCACAGCCCGATTCGTAACCACTATGCTACCAGAGCTCCTTAAGTAACGCTTAGTATCTCCTTTATTCTTGAGATGTGATTGCTTAAAATAAATGTCTGGAAATGACATAATTTCCAGCTGCCCTAATTTAGCAATAAGAAAATATAAAAATAGCAGAAATCATGCAAGCATATTCTATGGTTTCCAATTAGCCTTGTTGGTAAGTTTTTGTGCTGATAGAAAAACACACAACAGAAAAGTAATTCTACAAAATGACTGAGGTAGCCATAGTTCCTTAGGCCTAATGTTCTAAAAAGAAAAAAAGGAGTGACACTACAGTTAGCAAGAGCACATGAGACTCACATCTGAGATTAATGTGAATCATATGTGCTAAATGCAAAGCTTCTATGTACTTTTCAGCAAATATTCCAATGTGTGCCCAATAGGTATGTACTTTGTACCCTGACTTCAAAGAGAAGTCTCTCCATTTGGAACACTTTTAGGGATAACATACAAGAGAAAAAAAATTAAGCCTAAATAGATGCTACATATAAAATACACTCTCAGTATTCCATAGATACATTTTTCAGTATTTGCTGCCTAAGATACTAGTTTAGACACAACAGTGATTATCTGGGTATACTAATTAAAACATGCAAGAACAAAACTATTTTCACAAAATTATTGTTGTAGCCTAAAATTATTACTTTTAGTATATATTTGGAGTACGCATACAAGTATCATTTTAAAAAGTAAAGCTGAAATTTGGAAGACAAAATAATATTCACTCTAATCAAAGTAATTAATGATATCCTTTATATAAAGATAAGTTTTCGGTTTATTCCTTTATAGTAAATACGGCCATCCATGGTCCTAAGAGAAATATTTCAGAATATTAGTTAACTATTACATATTACTGTTAGGTGACAATATTATTTAAGTATTACATATTACTGTTAGGTGACAAGAAGTCAGTTTTGATGCATAATGACCGTTTGCACAACAGAACTAAACTGTCCATCATTCGCTTGTTGCTATGGTTGAGTCCATTACTGCAGCCACTGTGTCAACTGTCTCCTTAAGGTCTTCCACTTTTTCACTGACCCTCTATACTTTGCCAAGCATGACATTCTTCTCTAGAGACTGATCCTTCCTCATGGCATGTCCAAAGCATGCAACACAAAGTCTCTGCATTCTTGCTTCTAAGGAGCTTTCTGGCTGTAAATCTTCCATACTAGATTTGTTTGCTCTTTAGGCAGTCCATGGTATATTTAATAGTCTTCCCAAACACCACAATTCAAAGGTTGTCAATTCTTCTTATGTCTTCCTCATTTGTTTTCGAGTTTTCACGTAAATATGAGGCAACTGACAATAACATGGGTTCAGGTGTACTCCTTGGTCCTAAGAGTCACACCTTAGTATTATTTTCCAACACTTTAAGGAGGTCTTTTGCAGCAGATTTTCTCAATGAAATACATTATCTGATTTCTTGACTGTTGCTTCTGTGGACATTTAAATGAAATTCTTGATAATCTCAATCTTTTTTCTGCTTTTCATGATGTTGTTTACTGGTCCAGTTGTGAGGATTTTTGTTTTCTTTAGGTTAAAGTGTGACCTATTCATTTGTTTCTATCGATTGATCGAGTGATCAATAGATAGATACATACTAAAAAGTACTGTCCTACCAGTCTAATAACCCAAATGAGTAATAAGGAGTAGAAAAGAAGAACAATGCAAGCTTTTGAAACTGGATACAAGTAGATTGTGGGCATTGATTTTATTTATTCTGAGAAACACTTTACTTCTCCCTCAGGTGAGACTATTGAGGATGGAAGGGAGTAAGAGAAAGAAGTAATGTACATAGATCAGATAATGTTGAGCACTATTCCCAGAGTCAGCATTAGAATTTTCATTTCATCCTAGAAAGTAATTTTGGTATTACCTAAGAAAATATATTATCTTCCTTGTAATGCAAAAATACATAACATTTGTATTGAAATCACGATATATTTTCCTTTATCTACCAAACTGCATCTTGGAAGTAGTTTGATTTTTGAGTTATTTAAGAGGCATGGCAATATCCATCTTAAAACTTGCAATCACAGAAAGGAGAATTGTTATTGTTGAGTGGGTGAGCCTGTTTTTCCTTCATACAGATGATATCAATTTATGATGACTAATGTAGATTCATTTTAGAAGAAGTGCAGCCAGA